AAATATTCTAATTTATTTCCACTAGGAGTTTCTAAATTTTCTTGTAGAATTGTCTTAATTTATAACGAAACACCGTTCGCAACACTTAACATTCCCTACACAACAATTTCAGATTCGTTTGGAATAATGGAATCAAGCTTTACAACAAAACTTAAAATATTTTCAGAAGATTCTAAATATTTATTTGGTGAAATTGCAAAAAAATTATTTACGGCAGAAGATGTTATTTTAACTGTAAAAGGGGAGTTAAATGTAATAGCAAAAACTCCAGTTGGCGACATTGAATTGAAAAATATTTCATTTAATTTTGATAAAAATTTCAAGTGTTGTCATATTCAATCAGGAATAATAGTAAACTCTATGGAAATTATCGAAGCAACAAGAGATACTATCGGAATTAGAGGAGTAGCTACTATGACTAATCCATCAAATGTTGAAATTGATCTTAATAGTAATGTCGAATTTGATCTTATATCTGATCAAAATATTGAAATTGCAAAAATGACAATAGAAAACTTTAAACTAAAACGTGGAAATGAAGATATAAATGTCAAAATAAAATATTTACCAGACAATGATCGTGGATACAAACTTATAGAGAATTATTTGAATAGAAGATCTAGTCTATTACTCGTTAAATCAACTAATGAAACAACATCAACCTATCTATTACAGAAATTTTTTGAATCTTTAGAGTTTAAAACTCTGCTTCCAGGAATAAAAGCTCAATTGATCGATGAAATAGAGGTTTCTCTCCGTACTAAAGATTCATTTATGCTTCATAACCCACTTAAAACTAAATTATATTTATTTGGTTTTACTTCTAAAGTGATCAATATGTTTAATAAACAGATCGCAACTGGAATAACAGAGCCTAGTGTTGATGGAATTGTCATTGAATCAGGACAAAGTAGAAAAATTCGAATAGAAAATACGAATATGGATGTAGGGAATGCAATTAGAAATATTAAAGATTGTGTTAACGGCGTTAAAGAAAATGTCGAATGCGTTCTAATGTTTGGTATTGGTGAAGATCAAGATAATCTTTTTAGAATTGATTTGAATTATTGTAAGTATTTTATAATAATTTTAATTTTGTAATTTCTTTTATAATTCTATATTGATTTCATTCGTTTATTTAGTACAACAAGACATAAACGTTATTTGGGATCTTGGAATTTTTAAGTTTTAATATTTATTATATTTTAATCTTATATACGTAAATAATACTTTTTATTGTAAATTTACGTTATATTTAGGGATTGGAATCGCCTAAAATTTTCTTAATCGTTTAATCGTTTAACCGTTTAGCCGTTTAATTTGGCCGGCATTAAGATAATTCCGGCCCACGACCATCATAATTCTGCCCGGAATTATGGAACAAATTTTAAACGGTTAAACGGTTCCAATCCCTAGTTATATTTTAACTTTATTTATATAAACCTGAATTTATAGGATATATAAATTTAAAATTAAAATGTTTTTTTAGTAACTAACTAGGCATTTGAGTTGTCTAAAGGGAATTAGAGATGAGTGTTGTGTATTTAATTGTATATATGGGTGCCTCTAAAAGAAGACTTGACCCTGTTTTTTTTTGCATAAAAACGTATCGGACATAGTACCTGAAATCTGTGTGATAAAGAATTTTATAGCCACTATTTTAATCAAATATATCTCTTTTTAATCTCATTTATGCGTCATTTTTATGGACTATATCCAATACGTTTTTATGCAAAAAAAAAACAAAGTCAGGTTTTCTTTTGGCGGCACCCATATGTAATACAAACCATAATTCAGATAAAATTTTTGTATCTATGTTTAAATTAACGGATCTTGAATGAATGAACAAGCTTTTCATACTGAATAAGATAGCTGTGCGATGTTGTCATGCAAAATGAGAAATAGAGTATTGTATTAGTAAATGCATATGTTGTTTCACTATTAGTCAGTAAATCAAAATTTGTAGTTCTATATGAAATCGAATTTAAATTATAATAACTGCTCAATACAGCTAAGCGAAATAAGCAATTGGAAAATATTTTGCATGTAAGATTTAAAAGTGAACTTGAAATTAGGTTATGTCAGCCTTAAAAGATATAATGCCATGAACTTATCATAATTATCTCTTAAACTGATAAACGGCCAAATTTGGCCGCTTAAATTTTTTTAACTTATTTTTTTCAGTTTACTCTAAATTTTGTTAAGCTTTACCCCCCTATTTTCTAAGCTAAAATAAAAGCGTACCACATTGGGGTGCGCGATGCACATTGGACATAGCTGCCGCACCAATTTTGTCGACCGGGGTAAAATCGCCACCCAAAAAAGTTTCGAAAATCATATGATATTGTCAATTGATCATGATTAAGCTCAATATTTAGTATTAATAAATATTAAGTGATTTAATGAGTGATGTTTTTTTCTTCGATTCTTCAAAATGAAAAGCG